GATACGCTCAAAGACATTGAAGTTCGCTAAGAAATGGTTCGCTTCGCATTTAAAATTGATTGACGGAAGCCTTTTCTACCGGCCATCGAAGTTTCTATACAAGCAGCATACGACACCACACATCACAACGCAGAGAACTCTTGCAGAGCTAATGTTTGGAAGGCAGCTGCCGTCCCACCTGGATGCGCTACACCCGCGATAACTTACCCGAGAGGGAAAGGTGAATGACATGACAAAACATAATGCGCCAGGCGACAAGGTGTGGGGGTAAGAATTTTCTCAATAACTCCGCCTGGCTACCACTGTAGTATTTGAAGAATGCGGCAAACGGTCATTCGTAACGGTAACTCAAGACGACAGGAGGCACAGGTGTCATGTAGATCATACGAAGAAAAAGCCCATGGATATTGAAACCACCATTCAAGAAACGCCATGATATTAGGGGCCAGGAGACAATTCTCACGAAGGCAACCGTCAGACAGATTATGCACCTGCAGCGGTTGGTTCGCCTGCTAGTGCGTCCGCGGATCAGGCCTGTGAAGCAGGAACGCCAGAAAAAACGCAGCCCACCCAACGCCCGAGAACCGGTCCTGACTGTATGCCACACAGCCGCTATGGTCGTATTCTGAGGCACCAGGGAGACTGAACATGTGAAGACACCGACATAGTATAAGATCACTAGAGGATGGAAGTATTATGTATTCGCTAGAGCACATGCAAGCGAAGACGAGGAGAACGAAGTGGCGAGGCCGAGGACTCTGAGCTCGTGACCAGACTGCTGCATAGTGTTCTGGACCTCAAATGAAGGGGCATTATCATACGTACGCCTAACATACAGGTTTCAGAAAGTTGCATCAGACTTATTTCGCAAAAATATGAAAAAAATACACTTTGAAATGACGTCATGTGCGAAAATTTCGGCACTAAGTTTTAAAATGAAACTTTAACTTTGATTTTCTCCGCTAATAACAAACTGTGGCACTTAAACTAGTGACACTAGAGTTCTCAGAGTACAGCTTATCAACCGAGTCATTCTTTCACTTTGGTGTCCCTTTAGGTCAGACATCTAGAATATACACATATTCGCAAGAAAACAATGTATACACACAGGGTAGGTCTTCAGAGGAATGAGCGAGTGAGTGAACAACATTATTCTCTTTCTGCATGTTACTGAGCTGGGTTCCCGCCTAGAAGTCGGCTGAGAGGCCATGTCTCTCAGCAGCTTCCTCGGCCTGCTGGATCACCCAGAGTTGATTACCTAATTCTGAGCTGAGCAGCGCGGTCCACCAACGCTCCCGAAGGTCCTCATGGGAGGCCGCGTCTGTTGTATTACCAATTAGTGCTGGACACTCCCAAAGAATATGCACTAGTGTGGCCCTATTACCACAATACTTGCACAAATTGGTCATATACAAGTCGGGGTAAATGTGTTTCATAATTACGGGATCAGTGTAGGTGCCTGTTTGTAATTGCCACCATTTAACGGACAGGGCCTGGTGGAGCTTGGGGTGAGGTGGGGAGTATTCCCGTCGTTGGAGTCTATATTGTTCGGTAATGTCGTTGAATTTGGTAAGTCTACCCTCCCTCCATCTCCTCCACAAGCGAGTCTATACGGGTGGTGTCAACCAAGGACGTGACCCGGAACATGAGACCTCGAGCCGCATCGTGCGTTACCCCATTAAGATTGACCTCCGTGTGGTCGACGGGTGTCCAGAGAATGCATGCATTTTGGTCGTCAGAGCGGGCTTTGCCATTAGTAAGGACTTTCAATGCCACTAGGTAAATCATATCATTTGCAAAATTTCGGACTGCTGTTTGTGAGTCACTGATATACTGGGCATTGGTGTGAGCTATGGAAAGCGTGATAGCAACCTCCTCTGCCGTTTACACGTAAATTGTATTGATTAAAGCCCTGGTTATGCATTTGTGCGTATAGTCTACAACCGCAGAAACAAAACGGCGATAGTGTTGATAACGTGCTGCATCGACGAAGACCACCTGCTTATTGCTTCCATAAGTTCGGGGCATGACTTCGGCTTCTACTGATTCTTATACCTTTGTTGTGCTCAGGGTGCATGTTCTTTGGCAATGGTGGTATTACGAGTTTAGTGCGAATTTCGCGTGGTATGTCGTATTTGATACCACGCTGTGCGTAGTAAGAATTGCCGAGACTGTCGAGAATCTAGCGACCTGCTTTCGTATTGCTCAAGCGCTCGTACTGCGAGATCTGTTGCCCTTCAATTATTTCTTCAAGCGTGTTATGAAGGTCTAGTTTAAGAAGGAGTTCCGTGCTGATACTGTGCCGACGCCCTAGCGCCTGTTTATAAACTCGTTTGATAAGCCCGTTGAGTTTAGTTTCTTTTTTCCGCCACGAAAACCACCGATGGTAGGCAGCGACATAAGTAATGTGGCTGAGCACGAAGGCAGGATAAGCCGTAGTATACTACACTTCTTCATGCCGTGATGCTTGTTACTTATTATTTCAATGAGTCGCATCATTTGAGCAACCTTGGCTTCCAATTTGCAGATTGTCTCACCATTTGTGCCTTTGCTTTCAACCAGAAGTCCTAAAACCCGTATTTTATCGACTGTTGGCATGACGCGTCCATCGGCTGTCTTCAGGGTAATGTCTGTGTATGAGCTTGTTGGACTATATTGTTTGATCGGTCTGCCTCTGAGTGTGGGGCGGTATAAGAGGAGTTCGCGGACTTCTCCGCCAAACAAGAGAGCCCTGTTCCGCGTAGGTATTGTTCCACTACGTTTACCGCTTCTTGTAGCCGTTCTTCTATGAAGCCGTCGCTGCCATCACATATCCAGAGGTTAATATTATCGGCATATATGCTGTGATGAAGCCCGGTAATCATGGACAGTTTTCAGGGCAAACCGAAGAGAGCTAGGTTGAATAACAAAGGAGATATCATGGAGCCCTGTGGAGGTCCTGCGCTTCCTGTGGGTATCTCAGATGATGTGAGTGTGCCCACTTTGACTACAGCTTGTCGGTTTGTAAGGGAGTCGTGAATATAGCAATACGTTCAAGTTCCGAAGTTTAAGGCGTTAACCTGTTGAAATATTAGACTGTGTGTTACGCTATCCAATGATATCTTAAGATCTAAACCTAGTATAGTTTTGGTTGAGCCGGTTGTGGTGTCTATGATTTGGTGGTTCAATTGAAGCGTAGTGCCCTGACATGAAAGGTTTCCTTGAAAACCTAACATAGTGCACGGAAAAACGTCATTGTCATTGAGGTAGTCTGTTCGTCGAGCTAAGAAGACGTGCTGCATGAGTTTGCTTACGCAAGAAGTTAGAGAGATGGGTCTAAGGTTGTGAATGTTAAGTGGCTTCCCCGGTTTGGGGATAAGAATAATCTTGGCAACTTTTCATTGTGTGGACAAATGTTCTGTAGTCCAGCATGCGTTAATGTAATCCGTAAGGTGACAAATAGATGGATCATCTAGGTTACGTAGTGTCTTGTTCGTAATAGAGTCATAACCAGGAGCGCATTTGGTTCTAAGGCGGTGTAGTACGGCGCGAATTTCTGCTTCCAAAAATTCCTCGTCAATAGTTGCATTTGTCTGACCGGTGTAATCTAGGTGTAGTTGAGGAGGCGCTTGGGAGATGTGTGTGTTTGCTATCTCTCACAAGAGTTTTTCTCTGTACCTTTGTAATCATGAATGATCTTATTGATATTCTGGCGGTATACTGCTCTGTTGTTCTCAGTGTCTAATAGATGACGGAGAAAAAGCCACGTTTTTCCGAAACCTATTTGCTTGTCCATGGAGTTGCAAATTTCATGCCACTGTTGCTGGCTTAATTCTTTAGCATATGTTTCGATCTCTCTGTCGAGAAGCGCTATACGTTTCCGAAGGTTCCTGTTTAATTTCTGGGGTTGCCACCACTTTTGGAGTGATTTTCTCGCTTCCCACATATTGAGAAGTCGGCTATCAATTTCTTCATGGTGGGCCTCTGGGGGTACTGTTTGTGTAGCGTGATCAATGTCCTGTTTGAAAGTGTTGGTTCAGTGTTCTACATCATCGATGGGTGAGACATTATTTTCTCGTGACTTGTGGAACTTGCTCCAATCGACTAGCTTGTGTTGTTTTCCTGCCGATATGGGAGGGCCTCCTTCGATGTGGATATCTATGATGTAACGGTCACTACCTAAAGCATCTAGTGTGCTACGCCATGTTGTTGTGCGTGCATGTTTGACGAATGTGAGATCTGGTGTAGTGTCCTTGCTAGAACTGGTACCGGCAAGGGTAGGCACGCTTGGATCTACGATGATTCTCGGGGTAGTTCTCTGCTGTTCGAGGCTAGAACGGGAGTATTGCGGACGAAGACATACCGAACCATATACGATGGCACAGACACGGTATGTGGTGCGTGTGGAGAGAAGAAAACAGCTGAACATTTCATAATGTTCTCTAAAGTGCTCCACCCTATAAGTAAATAAATTAATCAAAATGCGCAGGCGGAAGGCCGAGCGCCGTCAGTGCTGTTCTAGGAATCGCGAATATGTTGTGAACAAAATTAGACCAACTGGCAAGAAACTGTCAACGTAGGGATTTTCCACTATTCTGGGAGTAGCTAAGCTTTTACTGTACCTTTATTCGACACAAACGAGTGTACGCAGATGGTGCGAGAGTGCACGGTGTTTATACCAGTATGAAAGGCGCACTGGTACTTTTGGTTTTCTATACCATCTGCAGCCAATTCAGTGAAGCGCTAACCATTCATACACTTCGTTTTCCTTTTTCATATTGCAGCCAAAAGTGGCTCCTTCTCGTTTATGTGAGACCCTCTCACTATGCGAAGCACTGCTTATGCAGTGCACGGCTATGGCGCTGCCAGCCGCCCATATCTAAACGATCTTCGGAGGCGCACCTATATCGCATTCACATAGAGCCCCACGCGACAGCGTGAAATTTGTTAGCCCAGACCGAGTAGCAGGCAACTTTTATCACAGCAGCTAGAAAAAAGAAAAAAAGGAAATATGCGCTTACCGAATTATCCAGGCTGCCCTTCCGTAGCATTCAATGAAAAGTACTGCACAGTGACTCGGAGCGCACAGGCTCGATCAATGCAAAAACGTATCGCCAATGCAGGAATGGTCCATGTGTAACACGTACACCTACGTCAACAGCCGCAGAGTACTGTGCAGGGCGTACGGACCATGTACAATCTTTTCAATCAACAAAGCAGGTCGCGAGGAACCCTTCGGAGTGATATGCAAATCCGGGGTAGCGCTGAGGTGGTGCGGAGCCCTAACCGAAGTGGAACAAGGTGTGCGCCGCGGCGGGCCACAGTGAGCGCGGAGACGTCCTATCTTTAGCGACTTTGGTACGCGTTGAGGCGGCCGCGCAAAAAATAGGTCCCTGGGCCTCTCGCCACGATGCAGGTTTGTGGAGGCGAGTAACTTGCGCGATGACGCTCATCTGCACAAATGCCACGCATTCTTTTTTTTATGGCGCTAGCTTCTAGCGGCATACGTTCCTCCCCGGCGGCTACGGTTCGTTTTCAATGTGAAGCATTTGTTAGCGAACTTTGACGACTTTGAACCTATCTATCTATCTATCTATCTATCTATCTATCTATCTATCTATCTATCTATCTATCTATCTATCTATCTATCTATCTATCTATCTATCTATCTATCTATCTATCTATCTATCTATCTATCTATCTATCTATCTATATATCTATCTATCTATCTATCTATCTATCTATCTATCTATCTATCTATCTATCTATCTATCTATCTATCTATCCGCCTTCGACATTTAGCTCTCCTGGCCATCTCGATAATCGGATAAGCACCAAAATTGGTATAGGATAACATAAGTGTATGACGAGCATAAGTGATTAGTCAACATGATAATCATGACATGTAAGTCATGACTCATGAATGTCATGATTTACACGTCGTGGTCTTGCTGCTTTGGCAGTGGTTTCGTTCACATGACATTTTCCGAACTGGTATGGTATGACATGACTGCATAGTGTGACAGGCCCTAACGTGAAAATTATGGTATGTGTGTCATGTAAGATAATGAATGCCACGCTCATGATGCGCACGCGGCTGTTTCACTAGCTTCACACATACCGCATCTGGTATTACGTGACGTGCATGGACGAAAGTAAATGACTCCTCCAGACATGATAATCATGATATGCGTCCCGTGTAAAACATGACTACATGTTACGTTCCAGCGCGCTCACGGCCGTTTCGCTAGCTCCACATGTACCAAATTTGGTATCACTAGGCGTGAATGGATGACGAAGGTAAATGACTGGTGCTAACATAATAATCATGACACGTGTGTCAGGCAAGAGCATGACTACATACCACGCTCGTGATGCGCTCGTGGCTGTTTCGCTACCTTCACATATATCAAATTTGGTATTAGGGGACGCGAACGGATGACGAGGCTAAATGACACGTCCAAAGATGATAATCATGACATGCGTGCACCCAAGTAACCACGGATGTCCGCTGGCTGTCCGATTCTGAATACAAATGTCCGGCTGTATTGATATGCAACATAGATAGCCAATGAACGTAGTGTGAAAATCCGTGTCCCGTGTGGCTGTTTTCTGGGCGGCCGAACTGTGTGTCCGACCGGACATTAGGTATTGAACGTTGACTCGCTGACCATATAAAGACATGCCAAGGATATGTACATTTGCTCATCAATTATTGTAAAATTAGAATGTAGTATATATATATATATATATATATATATATATATATATATATATATATATATATATATATATCTGCAGAATCCTGGACGACAATCTTGTAAATGTTCATTAAAAATGCTACTAGAAAATTAAAAAAAACATTGGCACAGCATTTGATCCCAGGATGCCAAATTATTTTGCTTCCTGAGCCAAAACAATCTGGTTGATTAAATATGTGTATCGTATATGTTATAAGAAACAATGTATTTAGTGTTATTATTATCGCATGAGAACTGACAAGAATGCGGATCCAACGCGTCATAGCAGTCATGAAGTAGGCAAACTCCCATGCGCCAGCCTCGGCGATTCTCAACAAGTGGTGCCCCACAGTTGCTCAGATTCTTCAAACGTACACATCATGCTAACCGTGTCATTGTGCCTATTGTCCCGAAACTCAAGTAACCACGGATATCCGCTGGCTGTTCATTCTGAATACAAATATCCGGTCGTATGGATACCGAACACAGATAGCCAATGGACGTACTGTGAAAATTCAAGTCCCGTGTGGCTGTTCTCTGGACTTCCGAACTGGATGTCCCACAGGACACTAAGTATTGAACATTGACTGGCTGTGACATGCCAAGAATGTGTGCATTTCCTAATCAATTATTGTAAAATAAGAATGTACTGAAAATATATAAAGATCTACAGAATACCGAGTGACAATGTTATACAATTTCGTTAAAAAGGCTACTATAGAATTCATTCAAATTTCGGCACACGCAATTGATCCCAGGATGCCAAATAGTTTGGCCTCCTGAGGCAAAAAAATCTTAGTTCGAACTTAAGCTAAGTTTCCTGAACAAAACAATCTGGTTGATTCAATATGTATATGGTATGTCATTAGAAATAATGTATTTATTGTTATTATTATTGTAGTATCATGCGTCAGACGCGTCGCACGGAGAACACAGGGCCTGGCGCTGAAGCGCCGGCCGACACGAGGTACGCAGCAGCTGGGAGCCAAGCAGGAACTCCCTTTATGTACACAAGCATGCTACTAGGATGGATGGATTGATGTGTCTGTACCCTTTGGATAGGGTGGCGGCTAACGCCACCTAGCTGTAATACTTAGTGAACCAACAACTAGATTTATGTTTTTTTTTCTTAAATAGTGAAGTTGAGGACTGGTACTTTGCAGTGAAGCGTTCAATTTTCACTCGTGCCTTAGCCACCAATCAGATAACCTCCTTGTAGTTTATTCTAGCTGTTTAAGGTTTATTTTACCCTCTCTGTCCCTAAACCCCAGTGCTTTGAAAAACTCTGCGCCATCATCCTGAACTATAGGGTGAAGCCCTTTAGAGAACATTATCAAGTGCTCGGCAGTTTCCTCCTCCTCTCTACATGCACTGCATAGCGTGTCTACCCCTTCGTTTTTGGCCCGATATGTCTTGGTTCGCAATACTCCCGTCTTGGTCTCAAACTATTCTGAGTATTATAATAGACCCCTTCCATCGCAATATTCTGCTTAAAGTTCGATAGATCTCTAGCGCGGACTTAATCATGCCATTTTTTCACATTTTGGTCTCCGTTTCTTTCACCTATAGTTTTTTTTGTTTGATCCCCTGCTGTTTTCTAAGTACTTACCCGTCAATTTTCTGGTTGGCTTCCTCCAATCTGTATCGCAATTCTTCATGTATAAGTAGCTGAGAACCTCCCTAGCCCCCAGCTTCTCCTCCATTTCTCTCAATCGCTCCTCAAATTTTATCTTGCTGCTAGCTTCCCTGCTTTCAAATAATGTCCATTCCATATCACCTTGTGCTCCCTGATTTGGTGCATTTCCGTGAGCTCCTAAAGCAGGCCTACCTATTCCACGTAGCTTAATTTCTAATCTTGCTTGAACTTCTGATCTCATGCACAAGACCGCATTGCCAAACGTCAGACCAGGAACCATGACCCTTTTCCATATTCCTCTCACAACATTTAATTTAATTTAATTTAATTCATTTAATGCTCACGAGTCCGCTTCTCATACAACAACTCAAGGCTGTCCAGAAGGCCCACAATGCGGCGGTGAGGCTGGGCCTCCCTGTCCCAACGTGGGAGCGGCCCATAATCCTACCCCTATAAAACGGGGGTGGAATCCTTCAGGACCCCAATAAAACTTTTTCATCCATCCATCCATCTCACAATATCATACCTATTGTAATTCCGCAGTGCTCTATTTTTCATCACTGCTTCGTTCCTGTTACCTTTACTTGTAAGTATATTTCGTGTTCCCTAAGGTACTCGGTCCCATTGCTTATCTATACACCCAGATATTTGTATTTATCTGTTATCTCTAGCATGACCTCCTGTACCCTAAGCTCACTACCTTCATTATCATTAAAAATCATGACTGCTGATTTTCTCTTACTGAATCTGAAATCAACCTATCTCCCTCATTACCGCAGATTTCCATAAATCAGAAAATCTTGCTTGTTGTCGGCCATTAGCACTATATCATCTGCGTACATGAATGCTGGTAGTGCCTGTTCTATGTGTTACGTCTGTACAGCCGCTTGTGACTGTAGACGATTTATTAAAGGACAGGAAACGTGAACAAGTTCAAAAGCGTAGCCCAGGCGTTGGAGTCACTCCTGGCCAGCGTTCGACGCCAGGCTCGCGCTCGTGCCACAGCGCCAGTGCCCCGCGCGCACTTCGTTAATGTCGTCTTCTAAGGCGACATGTCACTCTTCCTCCCTTAGACGAAGTCTCCATAGCGGTCTGGAGGTCGCCTAACCTCTGGTGGTCGCAGTTGCCGAGTGGCCACTGCCTGTGACGTCGACGGTTGCGAGGGAGTGTGATCTTGCATCTCGGGCGATTCAGGCGGTTGAGCAGCTGAGCTCGATGGCGTCTCTTCTGGCGTTGCGTCCAAGAGATCGTCAGCTGCGCTCCAATCTGTCCGCGATTGGGTTGTTTGTCTGGTCTGACTCGTTTTCCTCATGTGATTGAGGTGACGCCGAACCTTTCCTTGGTCGCTTTTTACAAGCCAGGATCGTGGTCCGACGCGGCGCAGTATTTCGCCTTCAATCCAATCTGGCTTTTTCAAAAACTGCCGGATAAGCACTCTATCCCCTATAGCGAAGCGGCGTGATTTTTGCAATGCCTCCTGGCTCTCAGGACTTCGCTTATCCGTCTCCCGCTTAAGAAGATCGAGAGGGCAGAGCAATTCTCGTCCGAACATCGCTCTCGCCGGTGTCATACCTGTGGTAGTGTGTATTGTCGTGTGCTGCCGATACAGAAATCTTGCAAGTCGGCACTGTATGGACTTGTCTGCATCTTTCAACAGCGCTCTTTTCAGCTCCGCCACATAGCGTTCTGCCTGGCCGTTTGTTGCCGGATGATATGCTGGTGAGGTTGCAGCCTGTATGCCGTTCGACGCATAGAACTGCTTGATCTCGTTGGAGATGAATGCTTTTCCGTTGTCGGAGATGACCTTTCGGGGAATGCCGAACGTTGCAAAGAGGCTTCGGAGCACGTCGATTACAGCCGCGGATGTTGCTTGTGTCACGTGCCGGACTTCCACCCACTTTGTGTATGCGTCCACAACAACTAAGTAGGTGCGTCCGAGTAGTGGCCCCGCGA